CTCATCTAGTTCCTCCAAGATCCTGTGAGGTGGCTCTCTGTGTCCACGTAGTAGGCATGGACCTATGCCTTTTTCGCTTTTTGCTTCCCTTTGTTCCCTCCATGCTAGCCAACACTGAGCACGGTGCTAGGGCATACAGCAGGGGCTTAGCACTTATATGTCTGTATGCAAAGAACCTGCTTGGTGCACAAATGTCTTTGGATGCAGAGAGATTGGAATAGGCCTATACTGGTCCTGAATGATAGAAATGGATAGCTATGTGACCCTGACATTCAGATATGGTGGTAGTTCTTTCCCTGACATTGCAGAAAACATCTTCTTGTTGGGCTCCACCTTTGGACTCACTCTCCCCTCCCCTCAGGCTGCCCCTCCCTTTCCCATCCAAGACTAATTAGAGCACATGATAGTTGAGGTAATGGGGACTTCTCAAGGGCTACACAGCCCTGCTCATCCTTTTACCCCAGAAACTGGAGAACAGGAGTTTGGATCAGAAGCCCAAGCCTAGATGGAAGCCTGAGAGGCCTCAGGATCGGATAGGGGAGTTCATTTTTCATGGCTCAGTGTCCAGTTGGTCAGTCAGAGGTACTGGGCCCCTGGCTCTGCTCCAGAGCTGAGAGCAGTAAAAGATCCAGAGGTCAGAGTGGAGAGCAAGAAGATCAGGTTCTCAGGCAAGCACAAAATGGGACCATGTCACTTGCCTGATTACTGCAGAGAAAAGAACAGAAGATACATCATGGGGGGGGGGGCGCTAAGGTTATCAAGGAGGTCAGACCTCTCACCCAGGCAACGCTATCCTTCATTCACCTGTTACAAATATTGAATGTTGTGAAAAGATCCCCCTGAATAAAAGATGATGCTGGTGACGGTGACACTGGCAAGGACACACCCTTCCCCGGGTATGAATGCCCTGCCTCTTGGATCTCAACTCCTTCCTCCCTGGCCATCCTGCCCCAGGCTCAGTCAAGTCATGTAGTTGCCAGCAGGCATTCTAGTAACTGGTAAACAGACCATGCCATCAGTCTTGAGTCTGTGATAGCCTGTGTAGATGCTACCCAACTGTCTTAGTTTTCTATGGCTGGGACAAAACACCATGACCAAGGCAGCTTACAAAAGGAAGCATTTAATTGGGCGTGCAGTCTTACAGCGTTAGAGTCCATGATGGCAGAGCAAAAGCATAGCTGTAGTTGGGAATCTACAAAGAAGTAGGCAGAGAGGGAAGAGGGGAGAGGGGAGATAATACTAGGGATGGTGGGAGTCTTTACATCTCAAAGCCACACCCCCTAATCCTTCCCAAACAGTTCCACCAACTGAGGGTCCAGCACTGAAACATATGAGCCTATGAGGTTCATTCTCATTCAAACCACCACACCAGCATCCACACCCTCCTTCCTATGGTCCACACTTGTGCCACAGGAGAATTGCTCTTCCAGGTTCTAACTGCCTCACCCTCAAACCTTCTGTTCTCTACGGAACCCCTTCCTTTCTGCACCCTTTTCTCAGTCTGGATCACTTTTACTTTAAGTCAGATGCACCCTTGCAAAGGATCTCTGTAGCAGGAATTTTAAAAGTTCTTATTAATAAAATCGAACCTGAGGCGAGTTATTGGGGTCCATGCTGGTAGATCAGAGAGACAGAATAAGCCACAGCTATCTCACCTTGCCAGTTCCTCAGCTGGTCCTGTTTCCTCAGACTGGAAGCCTCTGAGTCCTCATCTGGAATGGGTCTCAGCTGAACTATGTTGCTCCAAAGGCTAAATGCTTAACCAGCCAAAATCTTAACCAGCCAAAATCCTCTAGTTTCTGGTCCTCATGCCTTATATATCTTTCTCCTTTCTACCACCACT